GAGTTTGACAGCCCTATTCTAGACTAACTACATCCAATTTACCAATCTACATTCCAGGTATGGGGTGGCTGTCCTAACATGGCAGAAGCCAATTGGGAATTATTTCCCTCTGCTGTGATGGAAGATACAGAATAAAAGTCAAGCAAGCCACCTTTTTAAAGTCCCCCTGAGTGACAGAACAACTGACTACTTCTGATTTGTGATGGCTGTTTAGAGTTTGAATTTCTGGGTTTTCTTCATTCCATCTTTTCTCTAGATTGTCTTTCATACGTGACTGAGCACATTTTCTCTTATGTTACAACTCCACCACCACCACTTAAAACCCAGGGAGAAAAAAGCATTTACTTACTGCATGAAATTAGGGCTGGCTCTTTTTGAATCTTAGCAAAAAAACAAAAAGTATAACAATACGCTTTAAGAAAAGGGAAGACAGAGCAATTCCCCTCCCCCTCTAATATCGGATTCCAGCACATCAACTTTTCAGTGGTGCATTACTAGCGCTGCCAGTAATGTCCTTCAGAACGTAAACATTTGTTTTCAGGAATTGCCCAAGGAAATTATTAATATGTTGCTTAAATGCATAACTAGGTAATGGGTTCTATCACCTCTATTGGAACTAGCATTTCTCCAATGCCTACAGCAGTGTGTCAAACTCAAAGTCCGCAGGCCAGATCCATCCCGTAGGGTGCTTAGATCTGGCCCACGAGGCTGACCTGGAAACAGCAAATGATCGACCCACGGTGCCTCTGCCAGCAAAAACAGAAGGGACAGGAAAGGAGAAAGGGGAAGAGAAAAGACAGAAAAAAGAAGGAAACGTGGGAAGAGAGCAAGGAAGGAAAAAGAAGGAAATGTGGGAAGAGAGCAAGGAAGGAAAAAGAAGGAAAGGGGAAGGAAGGAAAATGGAGAATGGAGGGTCTTGGAGAAGTCCTGCATTGACATTTGGCCAGCACAGTGCCCCCAACGAGAGTCCCATGCCACGTCCGCCCCAGCCATGCTCACCATGGCCACGCCAGTCCTCCTGCCCTCCAAGGTCAAACACAACCTTGATGCGGCCATCAGTGGAATAGAGTTCAACACCCCTGGTCTATAGTATTCAAAGGCTGCTTGATGTTCCTCCTCCCACTTAGCTGGTTGGGGTTTTTAACTTTTAATAAAAAAGTTAATGGTTGTTCTGCAGTTGTCAGGATAAACGTTTATGAAAATATCTCACCATTCCTAGAGATGATTCCACCTGCCTCTGTCTTGGAAATTGGCTATTTCACTTGTCTACCTTGTGACATGACTGCTTAAAGTCAGATTGATAGTTCTTGGCCTTAATAATCCAGCTGTCTCTCATGCATTGCAACACTCCCTTGAGAAGTTTAATATGTTCCTTCCATGTAATTGGAAAAAATGGCCATAACATTAGTTTATGGAACTATAAAGTCCTCTAGGCCAGGGTTCCCCAACTCCTGGGCCATAGCCCACTACCAGGCCTTGAGCCCCTGGAAATTAGGCCACGGAATTGGCAGGTGAGTGCATGTGCAGGTGAGTGCATGTGCATGTGTGCACATTCCTACTTGCACATCCCCACTTGCAGGAGTTCACATGGAACATTCCCACTTGCATGAGCTCATGCAGAACCATCCCCACCCCCAACCAATCTGCAAAGCCAGAAAGTTTGGGGAACTCTGCTCTAGCCCCCTGAGAATTTGATTTACAGCCTTTGGAAGATGACAGTTAAAGATCTTCAACCTCAAAAATAAAATATTAATGTTGTATAGGCCTTGTGGAGTGATTCTGGTAGAAGATTTCCGGATCTTGTTATTTCAGGAACACCAGTCAGTTCTAATATAGCAATAAACTCTCCCCTTTTCAACTGCTCCAAAAATTTATCCATCTGAGACATCAAACAGGTCTCTGGAATTTCTTGTTTAATTCTGTATACTCTCTCCACCAACCTTGTTTGTGGGGATCATGACTGAGTTCCAAGGTTTCTGAAAAAGTGTTATGATTCCTAAGAGGCTGGGCAGCTCATTGGCTTAATAGATGCCAAGAGAACGTCTATTTTCAGATGGTTCAAGTTCTACTACCACATGATGGAGTCGGCTCCTGTCACTTGCCTCATCTCCTGCCAATCTAGCAGTTTGAATGCATATAAAATGCAAGTAGATAAGTAGGTACCACTTCAGTGGGAAAAGCTAGCAGTGTTTGGTGTTTCACCATAAGCTCTGTGCTGTGCTATGACATCATGCTGGCCATATGACTGCAGGAATGTTTTTGGACAACACTGGCTCAATGGCTTACAGAAATGGAGATGAGCACCACCCCCTGAAGTTGGCTAAAACTAGTGGAGTAAAACTTGCAGGGACACCTTTACCTTCATCTTATTATTCCCATTCTTAACATCTCTCTAGTTTCCTTTTCCATGATTTTGTGCCAAAAGTTGAGCACTTTATAAAGTCCCTGGAAAGTGTGGATATTTCACCTGTTTCAATAGCTTAGCTGAGTTCTAAGTTGCAAACTGGTAGCATACTTGCTCAGTCTTGATTCTCTGCTTCACTATTAGAATAAAGCACCATGAAATGTCTTCCATCCTTCTCATTTGATAGTCTCCAAACAGTGGTATCTCTCTTTGCCTTTAGTTCAATGTATGTAAAACATATGGGTTCACATGACAGACTCTAAAACGAATGTTGTACCTGGGATTTCAACTAAATAGACCCCAGTTGTTCTTAGACATGGTACAGCTGTGCTGTTTGTCCTGTTCATGTTGGGAGCCCAATACTTAAAAGTTTTCTCCCATAAGTAACAGATCTGTAATAGTCAGAGAGAGTGCTAAACA